CATTTATAGGCTGCACACAGGGTAAGGCAAGTTCTATTACTTTCCCAATGGTGCACAGTTCTGTAAAGTTTAATATGTCACACTCCACAGGACAAAGAACAATACCATACAAAACTAAGTGATACCGGGAAAATAAACACACTCGCCTCTGGGGACCTCTATAGTCAGACACCCAAGGTGAGATGGTGTCTGATATCCAAAGCAGAGCATTTACTGAGGCATGACCCATAATGGGAGCAGTTGACTGAGAAAATGCTACTTCATTGCTCTAAAATCATGAAAGAGAAGGCACATGAGCAAACTATAGGTGTTAAATAGTTTGGGTCCAGAATCCTGATTCTGCTTGTACATCAGTAACTCAAGTTTTAACTTAATCCCATATAATAAAGAGCTAATATGCTAATTAGACCAAACAGCAGAACGACCTTCTGAGCGACATTCCCGATGAAGCCGGGCTGGGAGGGCCAAGGCAACCAGGGCTGCAAGGGCTGAGCCCCTTGCACAAATTTTATACATTGGGCCTCTAGTAGTAATATAAAGCATCTATTAACAGATGATCTAAAGCTAATGAATTCCAAATAAGCCCACAAGCAGATGTCATTAGATGGGGTCATATAATGTCATAGTTTTTCTAGCCTTGGAGAGCCTCTGAAGGCCCAAAGATTCTGCCACTAACTCAGTGAATTTTGACAAGTCAGATCTGTGGGTTCAATTTTCTAGCCTATGAAATGATGGTACAGGGCTAGGTTAGTGGTTTTCAAGCTTTTCTGACTGAGCCACAATAAGAAATACATTTTACATTGGGGTATCTATATATACAAAATACAGAAAAGTTTCATGAAGTAGCATCTTTCCATAGACTCAACTTATTAGGTAGAATAAACTTTGGTATTTTTACCATTCTATTTTTTAAAAATGCCAATTGCAACACATGGTCCATTACCTACAGTTTAAATAACACTGAGTAAGTTCTAGGCCAGCCGTGGGCAAACTCCGGCCCGCTTGAAATGAATAAAACTAAAAAAAAAAGACCGTACCCTTTTATGTAATGATGTTTACTTTGAATTTATATTAGTTCACACAAACACTCCATCCATGCTTTTGTTCCGGCCCTCCGGTCCAGTTTAAGAACCCATTGTGGCCCTCGAGTCAAAAAGTTTGCCCACCCCTGTTCTAGGCTCTCTTTCACTATTTTCATTCTAATTGTATTTAATGCACTTAGGCTTAATATTAGCAACATCAGCCACAAAGGGCTAAATTTTCTCTGTCCTGTTTTCATAAAATAAAAAGTAGCACCTAAACAAACAAAAAAGGGAAAATGAAAGTGGCATCTATTTATTCCTGACGTGCCCTTACTCTTCTGCCTAAGAAACCAGCACTACGGCGTTCCCACCACGAAGGGCTGTTTTCTGACCATTGTGTGTTTTTCTGGGGGCGCCCATACCTTTGTACAAATGTGTAGGTTACACTTTCCACGGCTTCAGCTTGTGAATAAAAGATGCATCGATTGTTAAAAAACAAAACCCCCAGCTCTAAGCATACTTTGATCACCCACAAAGTGTGCTTTAGGAGGCTGTTGTGAATATCAAATAAAGTGATCATAAGTATTTAAGCATTTTAAATTGCTGTAACGGACCTAGCCAGTTTGGCTCAGTGGAGAGATCGTTGGCCTGCAGACTGAAAAGTCCCAGGTTCCATTCTGGTCAATGGCACATGCCTGGGTTGTGGGCTCAACCCCCCAGTAGGGGGCGTGCAGGAGGCAGCCAATCAATGAGTCTCTCTCATTGATGTTTTTGATCTCTCCCTTACTCTCTGAAATCAATAAAAATATATTTAAAAAATAAATAAATAAATTGCTGTAACCAAGTCAGGTATTCAAGTGGTTGGTTATTCAAAATCCTTACATCTAATACTTAAATAAAGCTATGTGATGTAACAACATGCAGTATTTTCACTGTATCTCAACTGTAAATGGCAAGCATGTGTGCTTTTAATATATCTAATGAACTTAAGAGAGGAACCTCAGATTACAGGACAAATGCACTGAAGACTGCAATATAAAAACTAAAATCAGGAGCATCTTAAATGAATGTCTTTATAAAATCCCTGGGGGTAGAAAAGAGGCCTTTCTTTACACAGCAGTAAACCCAACAACTTTACCAATATCAAAAAAAGATATTAACCACCCCATCACCCGTTACATTAAATTCAAAAGCAACTAGAAAAACTTTTACACAAATGGAGTTTTTTCCTTAAATAGTTTAACACGTTTTCAAAATGCAAAAGTTACATATATTATACTTGGCCTAGAAATTCTACCAATAGAAATATCTCAAGGAAATAAGTTTGTTAACATGTACACACAAAGATAAAGAGAATAGGAGGAAGGACCAGTACATACACTAATGCACTAGTTTAAATTTTTAGAAAATCAGGAGTCACTTATTTTCCCCTGGGTATCTCCTATGCATACATGATGTATACATATTAATAAACCTATTAAAAAAATCACAATACATCTAACTATACCAGGGGTGGGGAATGCCTGCCCCAAGAGCCGTTGTAAGCCCCATGAAATCATTTGGTCTAGCCCTGCCAAGGCATTAGGGGTGAGTTAATTAAATGTTTGACCAAATATAGAAGGCTAGTTTTTAAGTTGATAACTTTGTATGGCCCTCAAATGTTGTTATAAATACCCAGATGGCCCTTGGCAGAAAAAAGGTTCCCCACTCCTGAACTATACAATAGAACACTAGTTGGCTATTAAAAATGGTGATAAAGATCTTTATTAACATGGGAAGATGACCACAATATACTCAAAAGATTATAAAACACTGTATGGTGTTTTTTCGTTAAAAAAAAGTTACAAGCATTTCTCAACTCTGCCCAGTTACACACCTAAATACTAATAATGGGCATCTCTGGGGTGATGAGATCAGCTAGCTCACACAATGCCTTTCTGGAAATTAGAACAAGATACCTCCTTTCTCCAGGCAGACCCCATGCTCCAGGGTACATACTCAGCCTGGGGAGCTGAGTATGGACTTCAGCCTCCACACACCACTCCCCTTGGAGGGAGGCCCTTAGATTGAGATAACTGGTAATATGGATAATTTTCATCTATTTATGCCATTCTGCACTGGCATACTATTACTACAATCAACAGAAATTTGCTGTTTGTTGACCAACATAACACTTCAGTTTCAATTTTGAAAGAAGGTCATGCCCTCATCCTGTTAAAACTAATCCCAACTTGACTTGTACGGCCCTACCACTGCTCTTATAGAATGCCCTATCTTTTGATAATTTGTTCCTGTTATCTATTTAAGTGCACATACAAATAACTCTCTACCCAGTATCATATAATACAAAGGTTAGATATAAGGAGGAGAAAAGTCATGCTAACACAAAGTGAAGATACTTATCACTGGAAATGGGAAGGCGATGAGGAAAGGAGGAAGTTCATCTACAAAAACTAATCCCTCTCAAAAATTCCTTCAGCAAAAGTTACTAGCCTCTAGAAACAGTAATTGTTCACTTCCCCACCCCCATTGAACTCTAGATGCAAGATATATTTCCTCATAACACTACTGGGTTCCCAAAAGACAGCCATTTAAGTAAAAATTGTGAGCGATTACCATGCAGTTAGGCAAGGCATCTGTAAAATAATACAACCGCTGGACTGGGATTAGAGGAGAACTGGGTTCTTTTCCTGGCTCCGTGGAGTATGTAATTTTACTAGTACACAAAGCAAAATCACAACCTCTCCAGATCTCTTTTTTTTCCTTCTCCAACGTGGGGGTTGGGCTAAGGAAAAACCCTCCAAGGCCCCTCTCGGCTGGTGACAGGACCTAAGCCATCCTCCCATCCCCTCCGCAGGCGCCGGACTGCAGTCAGCAGCAAGTTTATTTTCTCAGCCCATGCCTAACTGACTCTCCATGCTTCTCTTAAAAATGGGCCCAAATAGTTCTCAACTCTAGAAATTTAGTCTCACTCAGGAAAAAAAAAAAAAAAAGATGTCAAGACCCACGGACAAAATATTTTTCAAAAGGCCCACAAAGAATGAAATTCGTTTACTGGATTCATTTTTCGAAAAAAAGAAAAAAAGAGAGGCACCCTACAGCAGCACGACCCTGGGGAATGGTTTAAATATTTCTTTTAAAACAAAGAACTCCGGCATAGAAAAAGTGCTAACATATACAACCATCACAGGTTTCAGAGGCACAGAAAAACATTGTGCTGTTCAGAGAGGATGTACTTTCCTCCCCCAAGAAACAGTTTTTCTAAGAAAAAACAAACCCCAAAAACCTGTAATTAAAAAGGAGTGAGTGTCTTTTCACGGCCCAAACTCAAGTGCATTTCCGGGGACGATGCACTTGTGCGATGAACTCGCTCACCGCGGCGTCCGTGCAACCCACACGCCGGGCACCCGCTCGCTCGCACGCCCGGTCGGGGCGGCCGCGTGGAGTCACAAGGCAGCGGCGGGAGCGAGTGGAAATTTCCTCTCCGCGGGCGCGGGGCAGGGTCTGGCTTCCCCGAGCCGCTCGGCGCCGCTGGCGCCTCCTCCAGGGCCGCCCCCGGCCGGCGCGCTCCGTACAAAGGAGGCCCGGGCGCTCGGCCGCCGCACGCTCCGGGCTCGGCTCCGGGCTGGGGTCCCCGGCTTCCGGCGCCGCTCGCGGCCGCAGGCCCGGGCAGCACGTGCGCTCCGGGCCGGGAGGAAGCAGCCGGCGCGGCCGGGCCGGGGCTGCCCGCGGTCCCACCAGCCTCGGCCGCGGGCCACGGCCCTCCCTCCCGTCCCGCGAGAAATGAATGGGCCCCGCGCTCCGCCCCGGCCCGGCGGAGAGTCCGGAGGCCCGAGGCGAAGACCGCGGCGGGCGGCGGAGGCGGCTCCCGGGGGCCCCCGCGCTGGAGCCGCCTCCCGCTTTTCCTTGCCCATCCGACCCCGCCCGGCACCTCCCGGACCGCGGCCGGCCCCGGGCGCCCCGCCGCCGCCCGCTCACCCCAGCTCTTGGCGGTGCGCCCCAGGAACGCTCCGGTGGTCGGGTTGTAGAGGAAGAGCTTCCACTCGGCCAGGCTCTGGTGGAAGGACTTCTTGTCTTTCTTCGTCATGGTGGGCGCGCCGAGGGCGAGGGGAGCGGCGGCCGCGGGGCTGGAGGCGGCGAGGAGCGCGGAGGCGCGTCCCGGCTCGAGCGGCGCAGCCCGGCGACAGCGGCAGAAGGTGGAACAGCCGAGGGCACCTCCTCACGGCCGCGGGCGCTCGAACCGACTGCGCCTCGCCGAGCCGGGCGGCCGCTGAGGCCGCGGGAGCCTGACGTCTCCGCCCGCCGCAGCCAATCCCCGCGCCGCTGCACCCGCGCCGCTGCCGCCGCCGCCGCCGCCGCCGCCTCCCGCCCGCGGCTGGCGCAGCCCCAGGCGGCGAGGAAGCCCCGCCCACTCCCGGGCCCCGCCCACGCCGCCCCGCCCGGCTCAGTGAGTCCCGGCCCGGCTCGGGACCGCTCCGGGGTCCCCCCACGCCGGCCGCTGAATGGGGAGTACGCAGAGCGGCTTAAAAACCTCCCGGGCTTCATAGGAAGCAAATGTGTAACCAGGAGCCAAAGGCGGCGTCCCCCGCTCGCCCGCTTCTCAGGAGGAGGCGTCGGGGGGGCTGCCGGGGCAGCCGTCCTCGCGGCATCGTGCGGGCGGCGGCGCGGGAGAGGCGAGCACGGAAACGACTCGACTCCGCCGGGGACGTCCTCGCCCAGTGGGGGCCCCCCGGTGCCTCCCGCGCCGCCGCCGGGCAGTGTCCTCCGGGCTCTGTGACGTGACTGGGACCGGCTGCTGTCCAGCCAGGACGCTGCCCACATGCTGCTGCCCAGAGAAGGGCCGTCCTCGCTCTTCTGACGGGCTTATTCCGGAATCTCGGGCGAATGGGCCTATTTCATCCCCAATGTGCCCGTCGTCTTCATGAAACGGGGTGCAGGGTTTCTCCGGAACCGATCACGGAAGTCAGCATATGCGACACATAACTTTCCCGAGGTTCCTGTCCACGAGAAGCCCTCTGGCTTTTCTCAGACACGGAGACTCAACCCGCAGGCAGCCAGGGCGTCGTTCAGTGTGGACGCCTCAGGGACGTGCCCGGCCTCTCCGGTTCTCCGCCGTCGCGGGTGCTCCCCAAGGCCGCAGCGGAGGGTGCAGTCCCCCTTCGCCGCCACGAGGCGGCGCTGAAGAGCCCCGCGCCCGGCGACGGCTGGGGCAGGAGGGGAAGCCTTGAGGAGTTTGGGCAGAAGGGGCAGAGGTTTGGGGAAAGGACATGCAGCGCTGCCTCTGTGCCTCCTTTTTCTCTATGAGCACATAAGAAAGTATGAATGGAGGAACGTAGCGCACGTCTTCATGTTGGGAACGGTGCGTTAAAATCCGTCTAGGAATGCCCACAGCCTGCAGATGCTAAAGGACTGACACTGCTCGTTTCCTCACTTTGCGTATCAAAACTAGGAGTTGGGAATGACGCCTCCCACACATGGGAAAGAGATAGAATACAATATTATAAAGTGATCCTCCCCCCACTCCCCGGAAATAGGAGAGCTAAATTTATCATTATGACCTTGGGAATAGCCAAAATCCAGTTACTTTTGAGCCAGGGACATCAAAAGATTTGCAGAAGCATTTTGTAAAAACTGGCATGAAATTAGAAGAAAGCTAATATTGATACAGTTGATAACAGGCCTTTTCGTTTTTGGTAAGCGGGAAGATACAGAGTCTATTTGGAATAAAATACAAAACCCATCTGCTTTATTTATGTGGGATGTGTGTGTGTGTGCACGCACTAATAAACACTGAGAAATAATTACTTGGCACACACAAAGAAAGCATGGTAAGCAAGAACATTATGAAATAGTGTTTCAAAGATAATGAATGCTGTCAGACATTTGTGATTTGTATATTTTTTAGTGGTGATTAATATGACTCCTATTTAGTGATTTGTGGTTTTCCAAATAAGGATTTAAATACAAATATAATTCAGTAATTTCAAAACCCGTGTCTAATTTAATATAGTAACTAGATCCAACAGATTCCAGTTGGGAGAAAATTTTACATTCTACTCCAAAACATGGGAACTATTTGTGTCTGACATCTGATACTTGAATGTTACCTGGAGAGAAAATACCAAGCTTATCAGGGGAGAGTGGACTCTGAAGTCTGAGCAGATTTAATATAAAATTTAATGAGAGCTTTATTCCCTACAGGTTTATTTCACTATCCCTAAATCTCCCTTTTAAAAAAGAAATGATTGTGGTCCCTGTGGCCCAGCTGGTTAGTGCGTTAGGCTGTTAATCGAAAGGTTGTTGACTCGAGCCCCCCAGGGACACATCTGGCATTGTTAAGAAGTAAAATCCTTTGTGACTCTCTCCTCTACACATTCTCTCTCAGCCATTACCTGTGAGAGGCCTCCTCCACTAAAAGAGAAATTATTTTGCCAGATAGATAATGGAATTTAATATAAATTTCAGTGTAAGTATATTCCATGCAATATCTGGAACATACTTAGACTAAAAAAATTATTCCTGTCCATCTCAAATTCAATTGGATATGCTGTATGTTTATGTGCTAAATCTGGCTATCCTACCTGTGGGGGATACCGATGAATCCCACTGTAATAATAGCAACAATCATTTATACATACTTAAGTCCTAGGCCAGTGATGGCGAACCTATGACATGCGTGTCAGAGGTGACACGCGAACTCATTTTTTTGGTTGATTTTTCTTTGTTAAATGGCATTTAAATATATAAAATAAATATCAAAAATATAAATCTTTGTTTTACTGTGGTTGCAAATATCAAAAAATCTCTATATGTGACACGGCACCAGAGTTAAGTTAGGGTTTTTCAAAATGCTGACACGCCGAGCTCAAAAGGTTCGCCATCACTGTCCTAGGCCCTGTGCCACTTGCTTAGTATCATTTCTTTTTTAATCTTCACAAATACCCTAAGGAAGGAGGTAGTTCCCTAATTATATAAACAAGGAAACTGAGGTTTAGTGAATTTAAGTAACTGGGCCCATGGTCAAAAACCGATCAAACCACAGCACAGGGTTCAATGCCCGTCTCCACCACCTCTGCAGTGGATGATGGCAGAGCTCGGGGACATGGCACAACGCTGAGGAGGCCGCATGGAAGAAACTGTTGTTGGCCAGTGATTGAGTGTGCTCCCCAGTGAGCAGAATACATTTTCTACTGTCTATGGGCACAAATAAGATATTTGGACTCTTACTTTGCTAAAACTCTTAGTTTATTCCTGAAGTTTAAACTCCTGTGTACAGAAAGAAGTATTTCAGTTCTTATAGCAGCATCTTATTTCTTACCTGGTGTTATAACTGATGTCACTATGCTACTGAATCACTAAAAGGCTATTAATTGTCTCTCAGAGAAGAGACATTAAGATGTCCTTAGAGCTCTAGCCAGTTTGGCTGAGTGGATAGTGCTGTCCTGCAGACTAAAGGGTCCCAGGTTCAATTCCGGTCAAGGGCATAAGCCCGGGTTGTGGGCTCGATCCCCAGTAGGGGGTGTGTAGGAAGCAGCCAATCAGTGATTCCCTCTCCCTTTCCCTTCCTCTCTGAAATCAATTAAAATTTATTTTTTTTTTTAAAAAGATGTCCTTCCTCACAAGCAGCAGCTATGATTATGTAGGCATGTTATTGTGCCTGAGAAACACAGTCATGAATACAGACTTCTCTCCACAGAAAATGTACTTTCCCACACATTGATCTTAATACATTTTTTACTAATCCTTGAACAAACAGCATCTCTATATCCTTTGCAGATTAAAGAGCACTCACTTGCATTATTATTATTTATTTATTATTATTATTATTTTTAATCCTCACCTGAGGATATTTTTCCATTGATTTTTAGGGAGAGTGAAAGAAAGAAAGATAATGTGAGAGAAACACATTGATTGGTTGCCTCCTGCACAGGCCCTGCTGGGGAGAAGCCTGCAACCGAGGTATGTGCCCTTGACTGGAATCGAACCTGGGACCTTCATCCCACAGGCTGATGCTCTATCCACTGAGCCAAACCTGCTAAGGCTCAAACACTTGCATTATTGATAATTTTAAGTTAAATAACCAATGTTTTGACCCTGGCCAGTGTGGTTCAGTTGGTTGAGCATCGTCCCAAGCACCAGAAGGTCACCGGTCAAACATTTAATTAACTCAACCCTAATGCCCTGGCAGGGCAAGACCAAATGATTTTGAGGACCTTGCCTGCGGGCGGGACGTTCCCCATCCATGGCCTAGAGCAGTGGTTCTCAGCCTTCCTAATGCCGCGACCCTTTAATACAGTTCCTCATGTTGTGGTGACCCCCAAACATAAAATTATTTTCGTTGCTACTTCATAACTGTAATTTGGCTACTGTTATGAATCGTAATGTAAATATCTGATATGCAGGATGTATTTTCATTGTTACAAATTGAACATAATTAAAGCATAGTGATTAATCACAAAAACAATATGTAATTATATATTCAATATGTGTTTTCCGATGGTCTTAGTCGACCCCCAAAGGGGTCTCGACCCACAGGTTGAGAACCGCTGGCCTAGAATGACAGCTGTACAGCAGGGCAAAAGAGCAACTAGTTGTGAATGGACAAGGATGTCTTCAAGTAGAAACTTGATTCCATGCCACAGAGAGGGATTAAGGTCCTGGATAAATTTAGTCATATGGTGAAGGCATACACTTTTGTTAAAAAGGAAAATGGAAAGCAATTGAAAGCATCAGAAAACTATGTTTCAAATATAAAGCAAACTAAAATGTGGTTTTATTTTGAGCAATTAATAAAGTGTTGGAAAATATCATTATTTGAGCTTGATGTTTGGAGCATTCTTATCTATTGGCACAAAGTTAGCGATATAGATTTACCTTTTCTATGCTAACTGAAGCATTTTGTTCAACAGTGAATACTCTTTACATAATCAAAATAGTGTAATTGCAGTGTATTGGCTTTCAGTACTTAGAATCAACTGAATGAGTATTCATAGAACAAATTTTTTTTGCCACTTTATTTTATTTATTTATTTTTATTGTCTATAGAACAAAATTTAAATGTTGTACACTGCCCTAACCAGTTTGGCTTAGTGGATAGAGCATGGCCCACAGACTGAAGGGTCCCGGTTTCAATTTCCATCAAGGGCATGTACCTGGGTTGCAGACTTGATCCCTGGCCCTTGTTGGGGTAAGTGTGGGAGGCAACCAATTCACATCGATGTTTCTCTCT